GCCCATTGCAGAAGGTGTGTCACAGTGTGTCCAGCAGAAAGCCTTTACCAGACTTCGACGTCTTCGAATGGCCTTCTCTAGCCGAATTCGCTTCTGAAGTCAAGGCTTCCCCATCCCCAAACCAAACTGTCACTGCCTTTATAGCCAAGGACTCAGCTGCCATTCCACATGTCTCCTTCGGTTGGTACCTGGATGGTGCCGCACTTCAAGCCTCGTGATCTTGCAGCTCGGCTGCGTGTTCAAACGAATTTTTGAAAAGAAACAATTCGCTAGATGTGAGAATACATGTTACCAACAAAACAAGACTCGTCGCGTAACACCGTATCGATTTACCTAGCCCTCACTTTGAATACACTTGCACCTTCGTATATGAACCTAAGACAAGCGTGCAATGATGTTATAATCATTTGGTTACACCCTACATGATTTTGGTAGCAAGTATTTGGGAAGAAAACTGTAATAGACTATTGTTTTGCAAGAGTTAGCCAATTCAAAAACCTCCCAAGCGATGTAGTGCACTTCGGCTAAGGTGAAGGAGGTGAAGGAAGAGACCGTCGCCAAGATCGAAGTAAAGGAAGAGGTGAAGAAGCTTTGGTTGCAGCTGCATTTTATCACTTGCCGAGGCTTTAGATGGCAAGAAAAGATACAACAGGGAAATGTGCATGAGGTCATTGTAGAAGTATTGGATTGATAAATGGCCGCTGACCATCTTTTGAATGAAGTGATTGAACATGATTGGCGGTTGAGAATGAGGGAACCAACTATCTGGAGTTCTGATATAGGAAAGAGCAACTGGCAACTGGTACAGTATTTGCCTTTAGATTTCTGAACAAACCATTTTCCCAATTCCCCAACCATAAACAGGGTGCCCTTATAGCTAAGGACTACTCAGCCATTGCCGTTCCACATGTCTCCCTCCGTTGGTACCTGGATGGTGCCACACTTCAAGCCTCGTGATCTTGTAGCTTGGCTTGGGTGGCATATGGTGGGATTGGGACAAGAAGGTCCCAAGGCACGTGGAGCCTTGAGCCGTGGGGCTGCCAGGGCCTGGCAGGCCGTGGTCCAACCGGCTACCGACCGGTGGAAGGACCGGTCGACGGGGCCGGCCCCCCCTTTCGTCCGGCAAGTCAGAGAAGCAAGTCAGATGGACTAGCTGAGGATCGAGCTGGATATATATATATATATATGCCTTGGGAGGTATCGATCTCCTTTGTTTTTTTTTTATTCGCTACAAGCTGACGCAAGCAACCTCAGACCTCGTCGAGGACCTCGTCGGACCGTCTTCCCGTTGGCCAGAAAAGCCTCAGGATCCCTTCTATAGAGGTGGCTTTCAGGGACCACAAAAGCTTGCAGAATACATCCACTCACAACGGTTCCACCGACTGTCGTCTCCATCACCTGGTTTTGGTGAAACATGGAGGCCTCTCTCACTGATGGGCCTGTGCAGCTGAGCAAAATGGCCTGGGAGTTGTGCCAAATGTAGATGATAGCGACCAACATCACCTGAAGCAAAGGCACAACGCCCTCATAGCAACATAAAAGTGGACAACCCCCTGTGCATGAAAGTCCTTTTGAAAGAGACCTTTTTCCATTCCCATGTTGCGGAGTCAGAGTGTAGATCTTTTCCTAAGCCCTAGCCTTCCAAGTCATACAGAAATGGTAAGACCATCCAAATATGGATGACCTGGTCTTGTAGTCCAAAATCTGTATAGTAAAACAAGATCGTTAAATTTGGTAAAGGCTGAACAACACCCCTAGGGATCAATGGTGTGCAATGGTGGTTGCAATCCAAGGGTCGGTGAGCTGCATTGAGCTGCTAGCACTTTTCGCCCAGGCGCCGGCGCCACCGGCTGCTCCGGCGGCGGTGGAACCCAAGGAATCGGAGCCCGCACGGAGGATCAGCACCGCGAAGAGCCGCCTTGATCAGCTCAGTGATGGGGTGGGGGCGGTGGAAGCCGCGGAGGAATCGGACCGACGCGGAGAAGTCGCTCGCGGATCTTGCGAGTCTAAGACCCTACTGCACCACACATGGGCGAATCACTGTGGAGCGGCCACCACTGATGGAGAGGGCTTTTAGAAGAAGGGGTTCTGCTGGTGTTTTTGAGAGCAAAGATTGAACCAATCGGTGCGGGTAGAGGAGGGACGAAGGGGAGACTGGGAGCCTGGGAGATGTTTCAAGGAAGGAGATGGATGGGATGGAGGGTTGACATATTTGGAGCCAAGTCATTCAGTTCTTGATCGTCCCAGTGGCGGGTCCAAGTCACGAAGAAAAGCCCTGTGTGCAAGTAGAGACTTCAAAGAGGTCACGGTCACGGCTCAGGTCCTGGGTAGAGAGGTGCCCCTGTTTTTGCAGCTTTTGTTGAGAGCTGTTTGTCACCTTCAGGAAGCCTCTCACCAAGTATGCAGCGTATCTGGACACGGGAAGAACTCAGTTGCTACCGAGTGAGTGACCAGTGCGTTGCTTCTCGCGTGACCAGTGCGTTGCGTTTGGAGGTGTTGGGATATGTTTTGGTGCTTCACCCAAGGGGGGAAGAACTCAGTCTATAGATCGAGCTATATAGACCCCCCACATAGACCGAAAAGTTAGTAGATCCCCACTCAAAATGTCTTGGAAACCGTGCCAACCTCTCCATCTGGGAACCGCTATGCATGATGTGTACACTATTCCAAATTCGTTTAGGTTCCCAGCTCACCTAGGCTTCTCATCACGCTGGCTTCTCACTGAGGTAAGCGACGCATCATCGGTGCCATCGTGCCGGTCCGGGGCACTCAGAGAGTGCGAAGGAGGTGGGGTCATCCACTGAAGGTGGATCACCTGGAAAACTCTTTTTGGAGGGTGATTGATTCACTATCACCAAGTTTTAAAGGTCACTGTGAATGAACCAAGTCAGCCAAGTGAACTATCACCAATGATAAGATCACTAGAACCTGGGTCAAGTAACCAAGTTTGTTAAGATCACTGTATACATCCATGTTCTTTCAATCCGACTTCATTGGATTCTGTTCGTTCACGACGAGGGGGCAGTTCGGCTCTCTTGCCCCGGAGCCTCGGTAATGGAGCCCATAAGCTTCGATGGTCCAGTCTCGGTGGAAGTAGCTGGGAGAGCAGCTCACGGACCAGCGGCTTGGGGAGCTTGGGATGAAGCCAAGACAAGCGACAAGCCAGGTGATTGTTGAGTCTCGATTGTTGAACCCTGACCCATGCATGCATGATGTTTGGACATAGTATGACAAGGTATTGTAGTCATTATAATACGTTCTGAGAGGTTTGTAGACCAAGGCATCAGCATTGTGGATAAATGTTATTTGCTGAATCATTTTAATGCAAGTGCAGTTAGATGCGGGGTCTGTCAAACATGCGTCAGCCCACCTCACAGGCCATGCGTGCGGAACTTCCAAGTGACTCATGCACTACCCCACATGGGATTTGATGACTCCACGAACCATAGGGCGGGCGCATACGCACCCTAGACCTGCCAGGTCACCGAAATTGAGACCTCTAAACCAGGTTGAACAATGGTCTCGATCCTTTGGAGACCTGCCAGGTCGTGCAGAATAGACTCTACGTGTAGAGGGATCAAATTGACTCATTTCGGACTCTCCGGGCTTCGACCTGCTCACCGGGGCGTGCGCTTTTCGGCGCTGCAGCTGGAGGCCGCTCCCGCGCCCGACGCGGTCGCCCCGACGGAGAAGCGGCCGGAGAACCCGGCGCCGCCGGCGGAGAAGCGGCCGATGACGCCTGGTGGAGAAGCGCTCACGAAATCGCACGGTGGAGGGCAAGAGGGCGGCCAACAGCCTGTGGGTGTAGCGGACGGTGCTTCTTTTTCTTGAAATCATGAGAAGGTGTCCGTTTTTTGGTGGATGAGTGAAGAAGTAGGGGAAAATCGAATATGTGGATGTTGTATCGTCTTGGATGATTCTTGTATCAGCAAGGGCTTTGGAGTTGGACTCTTAAAGGTCTCAATGGAGGATTGGACAAGCACTGAGAGATGGTCCTCTTTCGAAAGCTCCACACACACACACACTTGGGACACACTCGCGCCCGCGCGTGCATGCATTGACATTTGATGACCCATGAATCAAATGTTATATAATGCTATAGCATACATTAATATATTTTATACTTGTTGTTCAAGCTGAGACACTTATGTTGTGAACTCCATCAATTCACATTTGTTCAATCGTTTCAAGCTGACAGCGTCCAGAGATCTCATAGATGGCAACTGCTTCACTCAGCTGACCTCCGAGGAATTGGTTCATGGCTGGCTCGGTGTCGAATGGCTTGCGCAGCTGGGCTGCACATGTGGCCACGATCGCTCCCAAAAGGGACAACAATGGCTTGGGTTCACCATTGGTTTTGAAGTAAGAAGGCCCTCCAGACACTGGAGATCCTGATCCTTCGTTACTTCTTCTTGGAGGATTGTGATCTCTGCGCTTGAAGCACTGAGTGCTTGTCCTTTTTTAGTCTTTGACGACTCCGGACAAATCCGAAGGATGCTTTGGCGCTTTGCTTTCGTTTGGTATACCAGTTTTTTGGGGGCATCTCCTTAGTTGAAAGGACACCCAAATGTATTCTTTTTGTTTGGAATCATTTGGAAATAATATACTGTTACAGTAATATATACTTGATTCGTCTTGCGTCCAGCGCTTCTTAGATTGCTTCAACATCATCTGCCAAAGGCCGCCGCTCACAACCTTTTCCACTCTGGATCCGTTGGTTCCGTCCCATCAAGCGATGCTCCACCACATGTCATCGTCGACCGATAAATCTCGTTGGGATCCAAGATGATCCAACCAACAGAGGTTGAAGAACCCGACTGTTGGACTATTGCCATAGGTCCCCCAGTAATCAATTAGGGTATATGAGGTTCCTTTTTTAGGTCAGTTATATAACCTGTGTTGGAACGTTCAAGGTCAGAGAGAAGTGATGACGTTTAACATGGCCGATGAAGAAGACAAGGAGGCCAGCAGGGCGTTTTGTTCTGAAACATCGACGAAGAACGGCCGCATGCATCGAGCCGATGGTTTTAGGATCCGGCCTAAGATTCCCGAGAACCAACGATTTGTAAGTGTCAGGGAAGGTAAAAGGGTTATAGGAACCGGAGAGATTCCCAAAAAGTACCGGGAGCAGAGTCTTGTTGTTACACTGACCTTCCAACTGTCGTGATGAATCTGCGAATCCCTCCACTCCCCGCACAGAAATGAGGCGACCTGGCAAGTAAGGGATTGATCATCTACACACCCAATGGTTTGGGAGTTGAGAATCATTCTTCGTAGAACACAAACAAGAACCCATTGATCTGCATGGTGGGAACATGTTTGATGGGAACAAGAAGTGCCTGGCCTCGACAAGTGCCTGGCCTTATGGAAGCTTCCTATCTTGGTACATTTCAGTCTGAGAAAAAAGGGTCCCTTGACCCGTCTGACACTGCATGCCAAGAGGCTCAGAAAGACTGATCAAAACTGGTCAAAGCCAACTGGTCGCGGAAGTCGTTCTCACCTGAGAACGCCCGCACTAGCTCGCCCGCACCAAAACGACCGGTCTACTGCGTTTTTTGGAGCCACCGGGCATGTTTTTCCTTGCAAAATGGTCGGACAGATTCAGAAAGACTTAGGTGCTTAGGCGGAACCCGAACGCCACACTGCTTGGTGGATCCTTTCCTACCTACTTTCTCCCACAGACTTTCCTGCAGGAGAAGCGCATGAAGAGGAAGTCTAGCCTCACCAACATGTGCCTTGGAGCTGACAAAACCCACACCACCCATGTATATGGAATATTATGGAATAGTTCCCTATTATACATTTGGGTCGTACATGAGGTGTTCATGTATGCAACGATTCCGGAGCTGACACCCGTTGTTTCGATGAACGTCGGACGTGAGACTCCGCCCGGACGTGGAGACCTGAGAGTGACACGACCTGTTTTGGAGTGCCTAGATGGCCCCATAGATGGCTCTCTTCCGATCAAAACCAGACTTGATGGGTTCAAGAGTTACATACACGCTCGAAGCTCATGGGATAAGAGGGAAATCCGACACGAAGGCTTGAATATGCATGAATGATGAACATTCAATTTGGGGTGCTGATGGGCGAAAGCAAGCCCAGGTGCCCACACGTGCCCACACGTGCACAGTGTGGGATCCAAAGACCCTATCAGCAAATTGACAAGTCTCGCGGCTTTTTCATCAACTTCCTTTCCAGAGAGCTACAGGCAATCATAAACTGCCTTTCAAGAGAGCAAGAGGCAACGACCTGGGTCATTTCGAAAACAAACTCCTGATATCTCCGGATGGTGGTCCTTGAATTTGAGACTCCGTGGGTCAAACGGAAGTCAAGGGTATGGCTTGGATTGATGCCACATGCAGGATTCTGACCCTAGCTGTAGCGAGCACGCGCCTTGGATCTCTTATTTTTGGAACTGCTGAGCAGCTTTTTTCACCACTTCATCAGAAAGAATGATATATTATAACGTCCATGCTCCTTGGGGACCAATTCCTGGCTTTTGCTATTTCTTTCCTATGCTCAATATCTCCTTTGTTTTGGAACCACCCAGGGATCGTCTTTCAATCGATCCCCAGAACGACCTCTTCCCTTCGAAGCAGGTTCCAAGCCATGGGCTCGGCGCAGCTCATCCGCATGGACGTGGACGACGACGACGAGGCGCTGGAACGCGCGGCGCTTCGGACCCGTTGGAACGGGGTGAAGAACCACGGAGGCAAGTCCTAGAGGCGAGTCCTGGATGGAAGAACCAGGGGGAAAGTTGCTAGTCTTGTGATACGCCAAGAGGTCCATTCGGACACGAAAGGGTGATTGGAATGTGTCGAAGAAGGGAGGGAAAGTATCACAGAATCTTCATTTGGCTTTGGATTGACTAAGTCCTGGAATTTCACAAATGACATGAGTGTCCTGCTAGAAGGCGTTGTCGGCTTTCTGACGTAAGATTGGTTGGAACCAGCCAAGTAGCGTCACGAAATAGCACTTTGCCTGGCTCTTCAAAGTGACCGAACTTGATCCCCTGGTTTGAAGTCATGCAAAGGCCTGCAAAAGGTCACTGGTCGGGACTCCACAAAGGGCACGAACAAAAGAAGCTGGTGCTCTAAAGTGCTTGGAGGTGTCCATGAGGCACATGAAACATGAGTGGACAAACTTGCTACGCCATCGAAACCAAGAAGGGCTCCGAAAAAGAGATAGGATTCGAGACCTCTTCTTTAGCGGTCCCCAAATCGTGGTTTTGCTTGAGGTGATTTGTTACTTTCCCTGTGGGTAAATCTGTAGATCCTCCTTGATCTTTTCCAGGTTCCGTAAGCAAATCCAAGTAGTATACAGGGATATGTAGGGATTTATACCCTTGTTATTTTTTACAGGTTCCTTATATATGAGCAAATCTAAGTGGGGATCCATACTTGTCTTTGGGGATCTATATAGTATGCGGCCCTGACTTGCCAAGTTCGGCACCGTACACCGCTGCGAACTCAGGCGACCTTCGAGAGCTTGCGAAACCGCTCGCGGCAGGGAGGATCCGCAGGGACTTCCCCTGCAACCTCTGCCATGGCCTTGGATTTGGGATTGGACATGAAGAAGGCGGGGATGGGCAGGATGAGTTGATGGATGTATGGGTATTTTCCCTATAGAGCTCCTGAGGAAACAAACAAAAGGGCTCCTGTGAAGGTGGTTAGGGTGAGTTTGAGGGTCTAACCACCTGAGGATATGGTTGGAACCCTAAGGCTTCGGAAGGTGCGTTTTGGAAGGACATGTTCCGGGACGATAAATGGGACTCATTGAGAAGATCAATAGCAGTCCCATGGGTCGTGTTTAGGACTTGTCTTTTTCGACTACCCCGTGGAAGAGAAACCACGGTGGTTGGTAGAGGATGAGTTCATTTGCAACAAGGGCCTCCGTGGTTGTGACGTCACGGTCGGCGAGTCGTCTGTGAAGTCAGTGGAGCCCTGGTCGAGTCGTTTGCGTACCCATTCGAATGGGCGCGAACCGTGTGAACCATGAACGAAGATGTTAAGAACATCCCAGCTAAGTATAGATGATGGTAGTAGATGTCTCAAGAGGGTAGTAGATGTCCTAACGCGCTTTCAGAGAGGGTGTCCTGTCGATCTATCACTGTCATGGGTTGGATTGTCCAGCCAGGTGACCCGGACTGGAAGCAGCTGGTTTCTTTTCCAAGGGTGTCGGGTTGGTCGGGTTGATCCGAAAGAGTAAAAAGCATCCAAATGACCCGAAAACACCTCACCTGAAAGTCCGCTTTCCTGCTTGGTCTTTCAAGCCATGATTCTGCAGTGGAAGTGAAAGCAGGCTGAAAAACAAGGAGGTTGGCAAATCAACGGAAAATCACCAGTTCTGTTTTGAACGCCAAATCGTTTGTGCCAGATCTTCCCATCAACGCGGACCAAACAGACCTAGACCATCCAGACCATCCATGTATGGACTTTTTTGTTCACATGTATGGGTCACAAATGGCGTATATGCGCATAATTGCGCGTATCATAATCTAATAATAATCATTCTCTATGGTATTGTACATATCTAATACATATTCCAATATATTCCATACATGGATGGTCTGGGTTGGTTCTTGATTCTCCACCGCAGGACCGGCTCGGCAGTTCCATGGGAGCCAGACACGGCTCGCTGGGCGCTTTGCGGAAGACGCCCTCCGCCTCGCGCCTCGTCGCGCTGCCGGCGCTGCAGAAAGGCCATCCGAAGCGGTCCGACCCGCGGTTTGGACCGGTCGCGATGTGGATGAGGAAGGATGTGTGTGTGTGTGTGCCACCGAAAACGAAGCCATGTGTGTAAAGATATACCCAGACACGACCCATGTCTATCATATATGCCTAATTACATTGACCCCTCTGGCACCACCCCAATGTATAGGTAAAATATACCAGTCCCATGGAGTGTTTGGGATACACAATATGTGTTGACTCGGCGTGTTGCATGATGTATGTTACATAATTATTGTATCGCATTTATGATTGACTCTAGTATTGAATAGTATGTTAATGCAGCTCATATCTATTATACAATATATGTATACAATATATGTTCCAAACTGTGCCAAATGCATGACCTCGATGTCACCAGGCAACGGACCGATGGATTGGTCTGTGACGAATTCCATCAGCGCCACTGGGTGAAGTCCGCTGGGAGACGCGGAAAGGCTTTGGTTCAAACCGTGGTTCAATGAGGAAGAGTTTACTTTGGTTTTGTTTTGGTCTCATCCAGTGAGTGGATGTGACAGGGGCACCCCCCTATCCTCCGTTCGGAACCGGCACCCCGTCTTTTGACTGCTGGTATGTTGATGTTTTGCTTTGAATGGGTGAGAAACTCAGTTTTCCTATATATATATATAATATGGGTGAATATGGGTGGGTGAATCCCCTTCTTTACCGGAAGGTGTGTTGGTTCTTTCTTTACCGGCTCCTTAAGCACATATCCAAGCTGGGCTAGACCACTTCCTTCCGATGTCACATTTAGATTTGGGGTGGGGTCCAAAACCGGATTGCCTATGCTTGGTCTTAGCCCCAATCATGTATGTGCGTATTTCAATAGGAAGAGACCCTGGCCCGAATGGCGTTGGTCTATGTTCCAACCCTTCCAGGGGGTCGGAACGCGGGTTCGGTCTCCCGTGCTTGTCGTGTGGCTTTTCAACCCGTCCACCGGTCGTAAGCTCTGAGTTCGCTGGTACTGCGGACCAGCGGATGGTCCTCATGCTTGCACCCCTGCAAGAAGCGATGCTGGAACCCCCTCCAGAGGTTGTTCTTGTTGTTTTACTTTCCTAAAAATCATTATTATATTACATGTCCAATATGCATGAGGAGACCAACTTCTGGTCCTTTCTGGCCTGGATTGCGGGACCAGACCACGCCGTTGGTCGATCATCCTAAGTCCATCGATCATCCTCAGAGGACTCTGAACCTGAGAAACCGCCGGATCAGCTCCATGGAGATTTTCCAGCCCCCATTGATTGAACTTGTCAAAGAATTGGTATTTATTGACCTGAGTATCTAGCATCACGAGGGATTTGAATGGATTAACCAAAAACAGACGGGTGAGTCGAACGTCTCCTCAGGGTGGACTGCAAGAGGTCCCTGCGCGAACGAACGACGTCCCAGGTCACCAGAAATCATTCTTGGGCTTTAAATGCTTCACGCAAGCCGCTGGGTCAGAGCTGGAGTTTTCTTTTTTTTCGGGGCAGAGGTGGAGTGGTCTGCCGAAAAGGGGGTGAAATCACAATTGGAGTTAGGTCCAAGAGTCACAAAAGTATGCTTTTTAGTCCCTAAGTGAGTGGATAATGGGCACCCCTATCCTCCATTAGGCACCCCTTTGTGACTCCTGGGTGTTGATCTTTTCTTTGGGTTTGGAATTGTTGACGAGACACAAAAAAAACACATGCTAAAAAAATGGCTGTGGGTCAAGACGACCGGAGACCTAAACCAGGGTAGGTTGGCTCGGTCGTCTAATTCTGTTCATTTTCTATGGTCAAGCAACGTCCCCCGGTTTGACACCACGCGACAGAGAGGGGTCAACCGTCCGTCGCCCAGGTCCCCAGGGCCCCATATGGTGTAGGTGGTCGCAAGGCGAGCATTCTTTCCATTTGGGGCGAGCATTCTCCCTTCACCGCCGACGTCATGGCGAAGTGTATTTGAGAACGGAGCCCGGTCTTCGTCCACCCTACCCTATAGATCCACATACCGATCTATCACCAAGGGAATTGGACCATCAAAGCCTGCATAAATAGTCTCCAATTACCTTCTTCTGAGAAGATATGTGGATCCATAGTCAGGGCTAATATTGATATATATATATATAAAGAAATGTAGACTCTTGAGGGCCATAAGCCCCCCATATGAAGAGTATTTTCCAATTCAATTGGAGGGGTTTATTCATCAAGAGTCTACATTAGTGCTATAGTGTGCTTCTAAGACCCACCAAGGTGCCAACCTTTGTGTCCTTGAAGAGTAGGGTCACCTTTTGACAACTTTTGGCTGGGCTGGGAAGAAGGCTACCTTGGCCCACGAAGGTGGGCAATGCTTCTGTCTTCCCTTTGGCCGAGCGAGAAGCCAAACTGAGTAACGTATGTGAATGCGATGCAGTTTCCATTCCTGTTCAAAGCCCTCAAAAATAGGCCTCCTTTTCCGTTCGAAAGGACCAACTTCCAACGATAGGTCGACTTGCCTTCTACATCAGCTCCAGGAATCAAGGACGTTGCCACGAACTCCAGAAAGGCTCTAGAGTCTAGAGACAAGGGTAGTGACAGTGAGGAAGTCGTTACACCGCTCATCTGGATGGAACTTACCTGTCAAGGAATTTTGCTACCTTAGGACCTTTCCCTCGCTTACAGCCGCCGTGTCTGTCTCTCTTTATCAAGGACGTTGCATAGTTCCGGCATTCTCTGAAACTCCAATCCATCACAGCCCTACTCAACCAACCATTTTACAGCCCGACTCTCGTCGGTCAAGCTCGACTGCCTCGCTTGAGCCTGTCGCCCTGGGACCCGATGTAGAGGCGCCCCCCATGCGGTGAAGCACATCTCGCCCGGGAGGCGTGAAGCACAGATCGATGAATTCGAGTCTCACACCCAAGACCGATCCAGTAGCTCAATACCTCCAGGTGTTCGACTCCATGACGGGGTTGAACAAAACATCATGGCCTAGGGCTCCAGTCGTGCTATGTAAGAGAAAAAACCTCGAAACCCACCCCAGTTCCACCCTTCCGAAACGAAGGATCGACTGGAGCCCTAGGGATTTGGTCCCAACTCGCCGTTTTGGGGGATTCGTCTCACCTGATCCTGTTTGGAAGTGGTTCACAACTCGACTTGGGTACGTCTAAGGCGTGAGACCCCCCAGATAAAGCCACGGAGCGTGGATTGAGTCAATGTTTTTTCTGCAAGGGTTTGTGTCCATTGCCCGGTGATGTTGAGAGCAACCTTTCCAAAGAGAAAAACACTTGGATGTGTTCAACACTATCGCTTTACATGGATGGTTCTAATATGTTCTAGCGTAAAGTCTATTTTGGTCATGAATCATGGAGCGTCCAATATTTTTTGACACACCACCATGGTTCCCTACTGAAACAGAGAGACTTCCTGGGAGACTTCCCCAAGGACCTCCCCTGCAGTTTGACCACACCCAGAGTGGGCCAGCACGGCCGGGCCCCTTTTCATCCCTAGAGTCCCCATCTTTTGTCCAGTCCATCAACCAGAACCATCCACTGTGCCAATAACAACCCGGCTTCTGGACTTTGGTTTTGAAGGGGTTGATTCATCGCATCCAAGAATTCCATCGGTTCATTTCTTGGGTTCCACAGATGAAGCAGACTTTCCAGAAGGGATGGGCCATCATGTATGGGTCTTTGCTTCCTTACAAGGCGTCGGAATCCTGGGAATCCTGGTGCCATTTTTTAGATTTATCTTGTTCAAATTTGTTTGATCTCACTTCCGCTCGCATCTGAGGTGATCATCCTGGATGATCTGTCTCGGCGCCTCTCCTTTATTGGGGAGGACCGCCATTTTCCCACCTGGGTCTGCCCGGCGTGCCACAAGCGGGGAACCCCGGCGAGGTGTTTGTGATGAGTCGCAAGACAAAGTCACATGGCTGACCGGAATGAAAGAAAAACACTCACTGGAACTAACATGGAAGTGGATGGCATGGTTCCTTGACAATTTCCTCTACATGTTCCACTTCCACGATGTGAGTTGAGTTCACGTGACAACCCTGATGGGTTGGAAGGGAAACAACTTGAACAAAAAGGAACTTTGGAACGATTCGTCGATTTTGGGTGTAAAAGTGAGTCTGGTTGCAGCAAGACCATGCTTTTTTCAGACCACAAAACCCTCTCCAGATGCAAGTTCCACAGACCTTTGCAGTCTTTGGGAGAACTGATACAAGCTAAGCAGTTCTCTTGGACGGTTTAATCATGCGTCAGTTCTCTCGTTTTCACTGGTCACAGACAGACATGCAGCGTCCTCAATAAATAGAAACGGTGTCCCGCACCGGCTTTGATGACGGTGACGCAGTTGTGATTTTTTTAGATAATTTAGACACGACCTGCCTGTGACTGACATATGGCTCCCGATCAGGGCAGGGGTGGTTGAAACGGTGATCATATAAGTATAAGTTGTATTTGATGTATCCCAGACACTCCATGTATGCCATATATATATGCCTACATTGACCCCCCAAATCCCCCCAATGTATGCATATGGCAGTCCCATGGAGTGTTTGGGTACACATGTCTGTTTCACCAAGCAACCACTTCGTCGATGCATTTTTCCATCCCAATTGAGATATGTCCGTCATGTTCGTCCCGGTTCTTCCAATTTGACCCTTGTTCTACCCCCCTTGGGACGAAACGCAAAGGTCAACTGAAGAAGCTGATGACATGTTCCGTGGTCCAACAGGGTTCCACAGTGACCCAAAGCCAAATCCGAGATCCATCACTGGGGTATGGGGTGTCCTGGCTGGAGATCCATAAGGCAAATGGGACATGGCAATGGCGCTGCTTTCAGGTCCCAGCCACACTCCGAAGCGGCCTACAGGCACCACCATGCCACGTCACCATGCATGTATCCAAATGAGTCGGGCCATCATGCTACCATGCATGCTGCCGGGATATGATTGATATACAAAAAGATAACTGGCCATGCGACTTTTAACAACTGGATGGGACTAAACACCATTTCCTTTGGAACTGCTGGTATATAGCTCTCACCTGGCCTGCAATATAAGAATACGGACTTTCATCGTGCTGCCAGCCAACGATCACGTTTCCTTGCCCGTTCCCACGGGTCACTTGAGATGTATCTCGTTCGGCTGCGCACCTAGGCCTTGAATGGGCCGTGGTCTACGTTGGAAAGGTTGGTTTTTCCCGGGTTGCTTTTGTGAACGCGCCAAGAAAAAGCCTTGGTTTACGAGGCGCTTGGTGAACCCTGCCAGGGCTGTTGTTTCGGTGGAACAGTTGCTGCGGTTGCTCACCTGAAAGAGCCGTTCGTGGAAGACAGATTGATGTCTGATGTAGAGAGCTCATGTCGATTGTGCAGGAGGTCTGGATGGACTTGCGGTTTTCGGACTTGATTCTTGAGTATTGGCCGAAAGAAAGCAATTCCAAAGGAGATTGGAAGGTAGCTGCAGGCTTCTATTATCCGATACATGAGACCCAGGCTTTTGCCCACTGATGTTGAGAAGGGCTCACCATGGCTCACCTGTTTGTTTTTGCACCCTGCCCTGTTTCGTGCACCTAAAAGAACCGCTGCCGACTGCCCTGGTGGGACTCTTTTCGCCCTCGGATGGACACAACGCAAAGTAGAGCAGCTGCTCAGGAATTGTCCCGCTAAGTTTCGGGTCGCCAAAAGTACAGTCTCTGGCTGATTTCTGGATGCACAAGATGAACAAATAAAAAAAATACTTAAGCTAGGGGCTTCCTCAAAACCTGCGGCTTGGTTAAGCACATCCACTCCCGCCAATCCGTTGACCTTGTGCTGTGATGAGTGCTTACGCCTTGATTCACCATCATGTCTCAGTTTTCTTTGACGAGCTTGACGAAAGGATCGTGAAGCGTCATGATTCAACCCCCAAGATCCTGCACTTGAATTTGGAATCAACCCTGCACTCCATTGTTTGGGATCTTCACCATTATATTGGCTCATCCAAGTATCCAACAACATACGTTATTGGTTTGATATGCACATCGATGAAACTAAAGGACCACCCTCCAACTCAACATGATTTGTTGGTTTGTAGTCTGAAGGTCACTCCAAAAAGACTCCACCGGTTAGAGTTCCGTCCGGCCGGCTTTAAAGGGACTCCAATGAAGCATTTCGTGATGTTTCGTGGAGAAACTCTGGGTACCAAGAAGCGCCTAGCAGTCTTTCTTAAGGCCCTGAGGGTCCTCCTTCTGAGGCCTCTAGCAGTTTGTGTCCATTTCTGCAGAGTTTCATTTGCAGTTGGGTTGAAGGTAGAGTCTTTACAAACGTGTTGATGAAGTTTTAGGATGTTGTATATATATATATATATAGTTTTTAAATATAGGACAATCAATTTAATTGTTGATCTTTTGTGTGATCTTTTTGTATGCCAATCACCAGACAATTGCATGCTTCGCATGCCAATCGTAAGCAGCTGCCGATTGTTCATCTGGGGTGCCCCTCTCATTTCAATCGGATCGGAGTCAACAACAATCGTCGTTGGGCATCGCCAAATGAAGGGTCTGCACAGTGTTCTCCAGGTTCGGTCAAGCGTTTGGGTGACTTGTAGGTCGAGCAGAAGGGTCGTGCAGAACGGTGTCCAGCCATGGCTGCGTGGCTTGGAACCCTCATCGCTCCGAGACAGTACCTGGAACCCCCAGAGGCGACCTTGGACCATCGCCAGCAACTGCTACATTCAGTCCAAACGCCGGTCTGGCAATGTCTAGTCAGCGAACGGGTTGGGTCCACAGGAATGTAGCCTTTGGATACCTTTGGGCCAAATAGTATGGAAATATACCCTGCCTGCAACAACCATGGAAGTGGACAACCCTCTCTTGGTAGATGAACATAGTCTTCCAAGGGACCACTGTCCACTTCCATGATTGTTTCAGGGAGTGTATCACTTTGACATATCGCACTGTTCTTTTTGAACATCCGGTGGTCCTTCGGAACCTTTGATTCATGGATCATGGATCTTGATAGACTACGAAACATGGGGAGGCAAAGGCAGCCTTGCAATTCTCAACTATATGATCCGTCTGGTCCTGAAAATCGCTCAGGTCTCTATAGAATGCACATTCATTAGCAGCCCAAGGATGTCAATTTCTTGTTTGGACCCTTTGGGGACACCTCCGATCCCCACCGGATTTTCACGCGCCGATTTCAATCCCGGCGCCGACCTCCGTGCTCGTGGCACGCGTGGCGAGTTGGAATGGAACGAGGTTGCCCACCTCAGAGCACCAGGGTTAAATCACCCAGTCCACCTAGTCCACCTGGGCTTAGCACATGCTTCCACAAAAGATGGACACCCCAAAATCGTACCCGCGAGACCCGCCATGTGTTTTGTGTCATTTGAAGGATCTGTTGGGACCGTTTCACCCAATCTCGCCACGTTGGAGCGTTTCACTGGGCAGCCGCGCAAGCGCCACGACCATCTCATCTTCTCCACCGCTCTTCCACGATGAGAAGCCGCGGGGGGGGCGACCAACAGCCGCTCCTCGCGGGGATTTACCGCTGGAAGAACCGGCGCCCGGAGGGGATGGTTCGATCGCACCGGAGAGGAGCGCGTTGAAACGCTGCAGACCAGATTCCCAGAGTGGATGCTCTGTCGGAAAAAGACGGGGCCCGGAGGGTTCTGAGAGAGGAGCAGAGTGATGAGGATGGGATGTAGACTAGACTGTATTGGAAGCTACTAGCAGCAAAGGGCATTACTACTAGGAGTAAGGACGCCACTAGGGGCTCCTGGCATCGCTACTAGGAGCAAGGACGCTACTAGTAGCTCCTGCCCTTACTACAGTAAATAGCTACTAGTAGCGTCCTTGCTCCTAGTAGCGATGCCAGGAGCTACTAGTAACAAACTAGTTAAGGCCGAGCCGGCCTGGCAAAGAGTCCGCTGATTTGCCCAACGACTCGTACTGGGCGGGGCAGGTTGATCTACTTAACTCGATGAGTGCCGGTATGAATTCGACGCCGCCCCCCGTCAAGGGCCGCCTTCTTTGGTCAATGAAGTGTGATGGGTCATTCTCCTGCGCTACCTGTCCGGAAGAGGGCTTTAAATGGATCTCCTGTAGCCGGTAATGTTCTGCTGACTGTTTTTCGTGCACTGGAAGCCAGTGGGTCAGACCTCCCATGGCCTTCACCCGACGAAGCACGTGGGACATCCCCTCCATCGCGTGCCCAGACGGTCAGATGGAACAACCAGCAAATCTCGAACTGCCTATCCCAGACACTTCATGGGTATAGCCTACATTGACCATGAAACCACCCCAATGGATGTAACTATGGCAGTCCCATGTTTCTTCCGTTGAAAGCAGATCACCCACGTGTGACATCGTTCCGTTCCGACTTGTTCAAACCGGTAGGTCCGACAACAGGCGGGCGCTTCCCCCGTGGTGAGCCTTTTCAGCCTGGCCAAAACACAGCCTGAGGCCATGAGATTGGACATCTCAGCAAGCAAGAATTTGCTGATGATTGCTGGTCAAGGTAGAACAGAGATTACTAAATGAATTAGACTCTCATGTCAGACTTTGTCTCGTCGCTGGAAACCCAGTGATGAGCAAAATGTCAAGCATCAACTCCAGCCATAGATCCACCAAGCCAAACAGAGCTTTATTGGCATGACCCATATCGCCCATCTGGACCACAATCCCGGACGTAAGACACATCTATCATTATCCAACCACCCACACCGTTCTTCTCCCAACTGAACCCCGAACTCCATGGCCCACTTCGATTCACCCCGTAATCACTCCAACGAAGTCCCACACGACGAGACGCAGCACGACGCGAAGTCCCACATACGCACGACGAGACCGCAGCGGAAACCCATGCGGTAACGATGGACGCGACCTCGCCGGGAGCGCCTTGGCATGGCCGGCGCCGCGGTGCTGCGTTTGTTTCGCACCGTTGAGTGGAGTGTGTTCCCGAGTGATGGAAGTTTCTTTGTCCCTAGGGCTCCAGTCGGACCTTCTTAGAAGGTGGGACTGGGGTGAGTTTAGAGGGTCCAGTCATACCTTCTAAGGAGGTACGACAGGAGCCCTAGGGTGTGCCTTTGTTCGCTTTATCGCCATTCTGGGATTGGATGGAGCTAAGAGGCTAAGAGTTGGAGTGGAGATGGTGGGGACTTCAAAATGGTGATGTCATGTGATGTCACACATTGTTTTGGTTTCGCATGTTTGTGGATATTCCTGTTGTTTTCATTGATGGACTTCAATTGTCTGAAAACAGCATGTGAAAGCCACTAGGATGTTCCAGTGGAAAGGACCTCCCCACAAAAGACAACGCTTCTCATGGAGAAATTCTGTGCACTCCGATCCAGCAACCCCTCCAATCGTGGCGCCGGCCAGTGGCGCCATTCCATCCACAAGGACCGATGGGACTGGAATCGGCGACCCCTTTTCAATCAACCACGGCCTTTTCTCCGCAGCCAATATGGCAATCCCAGGCAGGTCATGGTCATGGTCATGGTCATCTCTGGGCATATTTTATTATAACCCAGACGCTCCAAACAGGTCTTGGTCCCTCAAAACCATAGGGATTTGAGGGTCCGGACCCCTCCATATGAGGGTACGGCCCCTACTGAACGCAGGGTCCATGAGTGTTTGGGAAGAACCCATTCTCCAGGAACCGGGAAAGAACATCTACCGAAGGGGATTCGTTCCATCTGGTAACATGAAACATCTCTTGAACACGGCCAGAACCAGTAAAACCCCTAAATGTCACTGGCATTGCTCCGTGTGTTTTCACCCTTGTCATCCCTGCCCCTTTTTGGGTCCTGTCTGAAACCACCTCCCTCCCTCACCTCACCACTTCCCCGCCCCCCCTACTGACTCGCCGCCGCCGACCGCTGTGAGGGATGCCCCTCACCATCCAAGCGCTGGCGCCGCGCGGTGGCGCGGGTCTGCGCACAGAAGGCGGCGGTGGTGCGGTGTGGTGATGACCGGCGACCGGATGTAGAAGCCTGCAGGGGCAGGCCAAGCTGCAGACCATGCACAAACACAGGGTTTTTGAGCTGGTTTAATTTTGTAGTGTAGAATCCTTATAGTAAAACTATGGATGCTTGGGATTCAGGGTTGGAATTGTAGGGAGTCACCGAGCACAGGTGAAGGCTGACATCAGTCAACAGCATGTTCAGACCTTTTTTGCCTCTGAACTCCAGGCACTTGGGTGCACTAGTGTGTATATACTATAATATGCAGCTTTCAGACCATTCATTGGTTGAGTGAGTGCAACAAAACAAGGGAAACGTGTGGTAATTGTATCTCGCCTCGATTGGGTGCGTCGCGAAGCTTACCAATTCAAGCACTTGGAGAATCTACAGTGGACGGATGGCTGACCTCAAGCAACCTGGATCCGAATGGTGTTTTGCTGACCTCAAGCTGCTGCACGAAGAGACAGAAGAGGGGTGTTGTACCTTCGTTCGATCACTTCTGGTGTTTCTTGCTTTCAAAGAGTATATATTAATATCGTACACCTTCTTTGGACCAGACACCGTGGAACGGCATTGGTTTGCACAGCCGGTCCTGTTTGATGAAGGTCTATATACAGTGAGACCTCAATACCCTCCAAAACTGCTGGGTTTTGGACATGTTTCGAGCACAGTTCCGGGTCTGTCTCCAATTGACTGATGGGGGTCTGTCTCAAACGGAGATGAAAGCTAGCTCTGAATAAGTAGCACGTCTACCGGCAAAGATGACCCTGAAAGGTGAGAGGTAAATGCTTTAGCGTCTACCCATCCACCCACCCCTCACCCCTCATCACGTGGGGCGCACATGACTCAAGTATCCTCACCTGTGCTCAATGATAACTACCAATAAGCGGGTTTACTGGAAATATGCGGGTTTACTGGACACCCCCCCAGTTCCAAGGTTCATGAAGCATCCTCAAAGTTTGTGGTTATTGTTCCGGTCCACCGTGGACGGTGGTTAAGGTTCGATGCTTCCACGTCGATGGTCCATATATGCAGCACCTTCAAAATCCACCATGCAAACCCAACATTTTCCAACAAATCCAACATCGGCGACCCGGTCTCGACCCGAACCAACTGCGAAGCATGTTGCGGGTCTAGGTTCCAACACCCGAGGCTCGAAGGTCGGGTCCTACCCGGACCCCGAAACTGGTTGGGTCCAAACTCGAAGCCTTTGGGCATCAATCAATATCAATCAAACCCAGACACGACTGGCATATTTACCGATCAGGCCAGGGGTGGTTGACTGGGGGTCTGGCTGGGGCGGCAGTCCGGACTGGCAGTCCCAGACAGGTCGTGTCTGGGCAAGATACTCCATACCCGTATACATGTGCCATATGCTGCGTTACATGGGGCCCACCCTTTCCCTACAGGTCAGGAGTTCCTGACCTCATTCTACTGGTCATAGATAACATACCATCCTCCAACAGGTCTTCTCTTTACAGGGTGGTTAGGCCTTAACAGGTCGGTACCTGTGGGGTGCTGGTATATATGACTCAAATAGATCCAGAAGCCAGGAGACTCCGGTCCGCGACCCGGTCCTCTGGTCGACCACTCCGGTCCGGTCACCACGCGCCCGGAGTGGTCGAGATGGTCGGTTGAGGCGGTTCTGCACGCCTTGGAACCTGAGCCTGCCTGGAGAGAGCGACCTGGGCCGCACCGAAACCGCTACGGTTTCTGGTCGTTTTCGCTCAACGTACCCAGGAGGTACGTGGGATGTGGATCTGCAGGTCACCTGGAAGCTTCTTGGGGGAGAACAAATGGGGAGAGCTGGAGAGACCCACGGTTCGCAAGAAAGGAAGATGATGGGAGGTTTGCTTCGCAGGAATTTTGCCAGGGACGTCTAGGGGATCATTAATCTATGTTTAGACAATATCTCAAGGACTGACTTCAGATCTCTACACGTGGATCGGGTTATGTTTTATTTGTTCTATGTTCCCTCGGCGTGAATGTCTTGGCCATGGGGAAGTATGTATTCTTTTCCGGCTTCTGGAAAGCAAATCCAAGGACGTTTGGCAAGTTCGGCATCTCTAGTTCTGGCTCAGAAGAAGTCTTTGAGTCCTCACCATCCTTCTTTCGCTTCAGAATCCACTCCACCACTCCACCAAGAGAAGAATCTGCATCTCGTCTCATCTTCCAGACACCAAAGAGCCACAAAGACTCAGACATCGCGCGGCAGAAGAGAAAAAAAAACAGGGCCACGCGGAGCGCGCTTCTCCGCGGCGCGGCTTCCGCGGCTGGACCGCCGAGGTGGCGGCCATATGTGGCGCTGTTGGTGAGTGGCTTCTTCTTCTCGCCCATCTCCCAGGCGATCCTCGTGACGTCCGGGGCACTCGGTCAACGCGGTCACGGAACGGAGCCGTCCGTCTCCTGGGGCCATGGTCTTTGGGGTACCTGGGCCAACTGTAAACGGGACGTGAGCTCATGACCCTATAAAAGACGGCGAATTACTTGCACTTGTACCATCTTGTACCCATTTTCGCAGGTAATTAATTTGTAGACTCCGGGCTGGGTCAAAAGAACATCTTTTTGGACCTCAGTTATTGAGGCTCGAGTCTTCGCATCACTTCCCCTCGTCGTGATTCATTAGCCCATAGAAAGAAATAGATCCCGGACCTCGACGGGTGCAGTCACTAGTCCCTGCCTAGGCAGGGCCCATCGGTCAGCTGAAGCAAAGAAGAACTTGGTGGAGACCAGTGCCACCAATGCATTCGGTCATAGTGGGATCCTTCCGCCACGGTATACCCGCTAAAGAGCATGACTTGAAAGCCCCAAATACAGACCCACTCCAAAACCAGACCATCCGGACTGGAAGATTGGCCCGAGCAGTGGATGGGTCGTTTGAAGAATTGTTCAAGTGGTAAAGACTCCAGTCCCATGTGATTGTTGGAGTCTGACATCCATAGGGTCTGTCCGAACTGACCTGTAACAGGACCCGTAAACAATTATCATCATGTTTGAACAAGGCCTGCAACCTGAACCATCATCATCCACTGTTACAGGTCATAGGATAGACCGCCAGCACCACCCAGTTCGGGTGGTTTATAGACCCCCCTGACTATCTACGTTCCATCTAATAACCACCCTTTGGGTAGATGGTGCTGGCGGATAGACTGAAATAGAGATTGCTGTTGGAGCGTGCAGCCAGAGGAGCTGTAGGCATGAAACAGATACAAAGGGTGCCGAATGACTGCGCAGCTGCCTTTCTGAAACATGTGGGTTTTATGTCGAGGCTGTTTGGCCACAAGATGAAATTTTTCTACCAGCGCTGGGGTAGGTTTTGATTTTTGGGTCCCGTGCTGAGCGAACGGCTTCCGCGCACGGCCATGATGGATCCTTTTGCCTGTTTCAGTCCTCCAATCTGGCCATACATTCCTCCACCCCCTGGCCTCGAACACAATTTTTCTTGGAAGACATGCCAGACGCAATCCAGAAATAAACGGAGACGTGGCCCAAAACCTTCACCAGCCAAACAAGCTCGTGATGCGGCCCGCCGGCTGTCCCACAGAGCCGGCCGGGAAGACAGGGCAAGCGCTATTTCTGAGTTTGGACAGGCTGTGGAGAAATTGCTTTTGAGTGAGGCAGGGCTTTTGGGAACGTTTTTCAAGTCACTGTCCCAGGCAGCACAAAAACATCGGCAACGGGTGAGAGATTGTTTTCCTCTCCCGCCTTTGGCCAAGTGGCCGGGAGACAAGTGTGTGCCAAAAGAAAGGGAGGGGCCAGCTTTGACAATAGCCAACTTGTGCATCTTGAGCCTCAACATTTTGTGGGCCGACTTTAAGCTGTTGCGCGTGGTGGCGACAGCGGCCGCGCCCACAGCGCCACAGCTGGAAGCTCAACGGCATGTTGCCGACAAAGTTTTGCGGATGCTTGACCGATTTGCATCCGCTGCTGGTGAGTCTTGGTGCTGGAGAGGAGCTTTTGGCAAGTTCGAGAAGGCTGCTGCAGTTGCAAGCGAGCCACTTGTTGGAGCTGCAGTGGACCTTCCTTTGCAGGCTGCTACATGTGACCCTTTACTGCATGTTGACCAGGGCCTCAATGATGCAGTGCGAGAGGTTTCAAACATCTTTCCTTTCCCTGAGAAATGCCTCCTGGGCGACAGCTGTGCAACGCCCAGCCGCTCAACAGAGTACCTCACCTTGGTCAGCCGGGAACTAGCCTGTGGAAAGCTACGGCTTAGGCTGTCCGTCAAAGGAGCCGCGCCAGTCTTTGCCGTTGGGAAATCCACTGCTGGAAGACAGCGGAAAGTTTGGAACGGAGCGGCGTTGTCTGCCGCAGCTGCAAAGCCGCCCGAGCCACCTCGTCTTGCAAACCCCTCTTCTTTTTTGGATCTGGAAATAGAGCCAGGCAGCCCCATCTGGTTTTCCAAAAGAGATGCGGAGACTTTCTTTGTGCTAAGGGTGCCGGACCAGTTGCGACCTTGGTTTGGACAGGCAGCAGTCAAAGTCAGTGACTTGATGGAAGTTGGGGGGTGCAGCTTGAGCTATTTGCAAGAGTTGGTGGATGACTCTGGGACACAGCAGCTTACGGTTGGAGACACGGTTTTTCCTGTCAACATAGTCTGGCCAATGGGCTTCAGCTGGTCGTCTGTGGTTGCTCAAAGCACAACGCTTGCGCGAGTTACTGCGTCGGGAGTTGCGCTTGAGAACGTGCTCTCAATGTGTCACCCCCCTCCTGCAGACCAGTCGGAGCTCTGCATGGTTGCAACAGATGACACCGTTTTCATGCATCGAGAGGTCACCAAAGGGCAAGAAACGCTGGCAAATTTTGACGCATCTTTGCAAGCAGCAGGCATACCCCGGAAGGTTTCCAAGGATATCACTTTGGTTGAGCAAACAACTGCTTTGGGATGTGACATTAGCAGCCGACCGCATGTTGTAGAGCCGGCCGTGCCAAAGCTTCTCACTTGCATCGCTGCAGGTTTGGACCTCCTGCGGGCAAAGACAGCTTCTCCCAGGGCGGTCAATGCTTTGCTAGGTCTTTTGCAGTGGTTCTGTTTGTTGCAGCGACCGGTTTTTGGAGTTTTTCACCATGTCTACGATTTTGTAAGGCAGCAGCCGGACAGACAACGTGTTGAGGTCCCGCGACCAGTCTTGCAAGAATTTGCCGTGGCTTTGGGCTTGTTGCCGCTACTTAGCGTGAGCCTTGACAAGCAGTACTACACTGAAATTTTGGCGTGTGACGCTGCTCCTGAATTTGGTTTCGGCGTCTCAGCCGTTAAATGCTCAGTAGGTGCAGTCTCAAGGCTTGGTCGGCTATCAGAGCGACGTGGCGATTTTGTCCGGGTGCACAAAAATGCCGGCGAAGAGCCAGAGAAATCGAGACTGGGAGTTCCGCATCGATTGGTTTTTGGCAAGAAGGAGTTTCGAACAATAGTGTCTTCGCGAGCAAAGTGGAAAGCGCACTCGAGCACTTTAGAGGGCCATGCTTTGCTACTCACCTTGAAATGGTTAGCACGCAGCCGCCTGAAGCATCACAAGAAAGTGGTGATTCTGGTGGATGCAAAAGCAGTTCTGGGCGCAGCTGCCAAAGGCAGGACTTCTGCCCCTGGCATGCGCAGCGTGATCAGAGCGATTGGGGCCCACGCGCTTGCTTGCGACTTGCTTGTTCGATTGGTTTATATTCCTTCAGAGGACAATCCAGCAGACTGTCCATCAAGAGGCAGGAAAGTTGTTCGTCCTGAGGCTGGCGGCAAAAGAAGGCAAAAACATTTATGAAATTTTTGAATTCACAAGCGTTTGGCGCTGACGCCCTGCTTCTAGTTACCGGATGCCATGCGAATGGTTTCACTGCCAGTGTGAAGACCATCTTCGGCAGCTTCGGACGAGCTGACGCGTTGTTTCTGGAGGCAGTGGGCTTACATGGTCTGGTCCAGCCATGGTTATTTTGACTTTTTGATTGTTGCAATTTTTGACTTGGGCAAACGTCTGCAGAAGCAACCAGTCGCTGGTGAGGTGGGATTTTCTTTGCCATTCCTGTGCTGCTCTGTGACCTGACCAGAG